TGCCAGTCAGGCTCTGATCCCCGGACCACTGAGTTTCTCCCATTTGAATAAAGTGGTGTAGGGCTAGAGCCTGGAGGTGGCGAAGCATAATCTCAACCAAGGCAGTGAGACCCTGAATACAGTCTGGACATTGGATCCAGGTGTCTTCTCAACCGAGGCAGTGAGACCCTGAATATAGTCTGGACATTGGATGGGGTGTTGCCCTAGACACAAAGGCAATGATATGAGATGAAGAACTGGTACCAGTTAGCACCCTAAGTACTGACATTGGTTTATGCACTTTGCTGGACATGACAGGTTGACTTTAAAGCATATGTCAAGGCAAAATAATTAAAAAAAATCTAGTATAATTCTGCAATACATATGCATATAGTGTGAACCTACCTTCCTGTTTGACCTGACAACACAGTGTTTTATGAGCTCTGAAATCCTGAGCATGTGGTGTCAGCCCTGCCCAATTCATTTCTGATGGATTACAAAGAATACAGACCTCCCTTTATCTCCTCAGGTAGTTGTCAGCTCCCACAATGTCTGGCAGAATCCTAATGTATTTTTTGCACTTATTGAACACCTATAACAAAATGATTTGAATGTTATATTTAGCAGCCCACGATTTATATACACTTTCAGTTAACTTTTTTTTTTTTAAATTGAAGGTCCACTTCTATTGTTGTACTTCACACTTACAAAATGAAACGCTTGGTAATAGGAAAAAAAAAATAAGAATATTTACTTTACACCCCGGCTGTAAAGTGTTCTGTGTATTATAAAGAGCCATCCACCCAAGATGGCCGTAAATTTGACTTCTTCCTTTTGATTTAATAAGAAATGGTATCATGTATTCGAGCGTCCAGTCTCAAGCAGTTACATAGTAGAGGATATATAACTCCATGAGACTCTGCCAGTCCGTGTTACTGTAGAAAGAAAACTGGGTCGCTAGACTCCTGCAGAAAGGCTGTCTCTAATGACAATGATGAGAACAAAACAGATTTAAAACACCGATCGCCACTCGAGATCCTGAACAATGAGACAATAAGCTAATAAATACAATTTTAAGTGAGTCAGACATGACATTTGTGTTCTTTTTTTGTTGTTTTCTGAACCCCTTGAACTTCAAATAACCTTGAAGGGCAAAAATCTTGTCTGGTTTCATGCAGTCTATTCCCAAACTGCCCTGAGTACTTGTGCCATTTATCAAACAGCTACTCATGCATTTTAACTAACCTCTTGTGTCTCAAGAGATTTGAAATGTGTCTGGAGGAAATAATGTTCTGAAGCTGGAGATGCACCGGCAGAGCAGACCACCAACGCATCTTTGTCTTGGCTTTAGGCTAGTTTTGGGCATGCATTGTGCCAGTAAACAGCCCATGTGTGGGCATCTTGTCACCAGGAAAGAAAGTGATTGGGAGGGGGGGGCGGGTACCAACATTTTACAGTTGTGACAGAGCGAGAGGTGAGGAGTAATATTCCAATGGGGACACCTGTTCTGGTGGCAACAGTCCAAAGGGATATCCCCTTATTTTCCCTTAGTTTGGAGATTTTTTTTTACGGCTTTGGGACAGTTAGTAGAGGGAAATTTCCCTAAAAAAAAAAGGCATGTAACCATTCACTACTCTGTCCAAAACGATGGAAAAATGATCAATTTTAAAGTGACACTAAACTCGGGAGTTAAATCTCAAAAATGCATTCAACTTCCTTAAATATTAACAAAAATGTATCTTATCTCTGTATCACTCAGCCCGTAGATCCTCAAATCATCTCTGAATTGGTGCTGACACTGTCCTTCCTTCTGGAGGGTGACTACTTTTGTTTCCCATGAGCCCTGTGTGTGTTGTAAAGTAGCCATGTGATGGGCTACAATCTCAATACAAATGGGAAAAAGTAAACCTGACATTGTAGTCCTGATTCCTAAAATGTGACTTGTATGTCTGTGCAGAATAATGAGAACACTAATGAGTCAATCACATAAAAAGAAAATGCTAGGGATGTTCAGATACCAAGTACAACTGCAGATACTTTTCCAGGACTAGACTAGAGAAAAATTCAAAAGTTAGGAGTTCATTTTTAAGGAGCACAACGAGCTCCTGGGATTTGTACATCCCCGTTTTAATGCATTATTTTATATATATATAAATATATATAAGTGATGCACCGATACCATTTTTCCAAGTACAAGTTCTGATACTTGTCCAAGTACTCACAGATACAAGTACTGATACATTTTTGTTTATTGTCATGTGACAGTTTTTCTAAAACAATGCAGAGTAATGATTTCAGGACAGTGGTGGAGCACCAGAGCCAGGTCCCAGCTGCAACCTCTGCAACCCTGGTAGTTCTTATGAAAATGCCAAGTATCGGCACTGGTATCTGAACATAAATTTCCAGGGGCATTCCATACACTGTGTGCAGAACATCTCTAGGTTGCCATATTGGTAGGAAGCAACATTTGGCATCTGCATAATATTACAGAGGTTTAGAATTTAAATATAAAGGTAATTTTAATGACTATATATTATAAAATGGCTTTTGTAGCCATTAAATACGTTTTAAATGGAGTTTTCCTAAGTTAGAGGTCTCTCGAAACTCCTAGCAAGGCGCCAGTCAGTAATCTGTTGACTCAGAAAACGCAGCATACCTGTATTGTAACAGCGCTTTTCTTTTATTAAAAGAATATCATTTAATGTACATTTAATGAATACACCTCAAATAGTTTACTTCCAGAGGGGAGCAGCTGCTTTATTGACTAGTAAGCGGGCCGCATAGAACACGAAGATATTAGTTTTGTTTCTCATAATAAAGGCACCTGAAACGAGTCTCTATGCACCGTATTAAATGTGTTTTTAAATGCAAATTTGACAACGTATGTGTCTTTTATTGTGATCGAAATGACTGCATTCAGCCTTAGCAAGAATGAAGGCGAGGCATAAAAACACAATTAAGGCCTTTTTATTCAAGAGGCGCCGGGGGGCTGACAATTCATACGCTGCTATATTGCTACTAGTTAAATGAGCATTCTTTAGAATCCACAACTACTGTTATTGAATCAAAACCTGGTTATTTGTAATAACTCCTGGTACACAGTCACAGATACCCACATTATTTAAATAAAATAAAAAACACATTTCCCGCTAGCAAATTTTTAATAGAATGGACCTGGGGCACATGCATAGTTCAATGTACACTCAAGCTCATCCAGCTGTAAAATGCCAGAAATGCAGCCCATTTTCGGAGACTATGTAACTCCCACTGGCATGCGCAGGCTACCCATTGGGAGAAGATTATCAACGTGGGACCCAGAAGGCAGCAGGGCAGGCAGACAAAATGGCAAGACACAATTTGGATCTGTCATTGCTGGAGAAAGGTGATGTAATCCCTTACTATGAACTTCTCTTATTTGATCCCCTTTGGTCTGCTAAATATATAATTGAAGTGTTTTGCTATAGGTTCAATAGGTGCAACAACAAAAAAAACTTGTAGATCCTGACGGACATTTTGTGAGCTGATAACTTCCTGCGCCCTTTGCCCCCTGGCGACATATCAGTTTCACTGTATGCAGCTATCTGTGAGGTATATGGAACTCTTCCCCTCTGTTAGGCTAGGTTCACACCTGGATGATCCATGACCGTGGGCAATCATGCATGATACCACGCGGATTGCCGTGCGGTCACGGAGTCGCCCAACACCACCGATCTTGCTGGCGGTGCCATCATTTTCTAATGGCACCCCAGTTGTACCAGGCGGATCGCACAGTTCCCTGCCGTGATTCCGTCCTTGCAACCAAACACGATTGCGTCTAAAACAGCCGCGCGTCGTGTGTCACAAAAAAAGGTACATGTACCTTTTTTTCTGCGATTGCCGCACAGATGTAACCCTATTGGAATGAATAGGGCCACGTGTCAATCGCTGTGTGCAGCTGTGCACAATCGCACGGTCCGAGGACGCGCGGCCCAGGTATGCACCGGCCCTTATAGAAAAGAGGAGGAGAGTCTGAATTTCTGTCCCAGGGTGACCATGCTCCATAGATGCAGTACAGTGAGGGGGCAATGTCAGCCTAGGACAGGAAGTGTGTTATTGGCAGGATCACCAGGTATGAATAAAGGAAAAAAAGGCTGGCTCTGCCTTCCTTTTTCTGCCATGCTGCTGCAGCTCCTCTGATGTGAAGGGGGAACTAACTACTGTGATATGAACGGGGCTTCTGATATGAAGGAGACTCCTGATGTGAAGGAGGAAATCTGAAGTGAAAGGGGGCACTCTGGTATGAAAGAGGGACTCCTGATGTGATGGGTGGGGGGTCCTGATGTGAAGGGAGGCTTCTGATGTGGAAGAGGAGGACACCAATGTGAAAAAAGGGGGACTGATGTGAAGGGGGCTCCTGATCTAAAAAGGGGACTCTGATGTGAAAGGGGAATAATGTTAGAGGGGTGGCTTTGGTGTGGAAGGGGGCCTCCTAATTTGAAGGAGAGACTCATTTTTTTGTGTTTTTGCATGGGGTTGCTGCTTATAATCCATACCATGCCACTTATACTATCTGGTATACGGGTTTGGTATGGATTTTGGAGGGGCTTTAAGTTGATTTTTATATTTAGTTTTTTTTACATTTTAGATTAGGGCGTCTCCAGATTTTGCATACTTATAATGGCTGCTGTGACTGAAAAAATGTTGGAAAATGCTGCTCCAGACAAACTACAGATTTAATTTAATTTACTATAACCTATTTGATGCATTTTCTGAACTACAAAAATCAATACCACAACTTGCCTGTGATAAATTGAACTGGTGCAATAAAGCCTTTGGCGAAATAAAAACCCCAGGATTGTACAAATTAGCATAGTTTAAATATGGTGTGCGTTATGCTTTTAGAGGATTGATCCCTTTGTTTTTTGTACAGAGGAGGATATGCTATTCCTATTACTCCCTCTAATGCATTCTAATATATTTAGTGATGCAAAAACAGCTGAATCCGTCCTTTTTGACTTGAAATGTTTTTCTTCTTTTGGCAGATGACATGGAGGCTATTTCTATCAAACAGTTTGTTAAACATATCAACGAACTCTATTCCAACAATCAGCATGGATTTTCTGAAGATTTTGAGGTAGGAATTACGTTTTCCAGATCTTTTCTTTTTTAAAGCTGCGCGAGTAAATGTACAAGACAGTGAACGTAAACTTGGGCTTATATTAAACCTGCTGAGTAGCTAGGAAGGCTGTAATGTTTGTAATGAGTGTCCTGGAAGCCCCAAAACCTGGTAGTCATTCAGTTACACAGGTTAAGACCTTAACTCAACAAGTCAAGCACCTATGCCTTGCTATTGGACAGTGAGGCTGACCATCTTTGAGGAATCAGTCCAATAGTGAGTGGCTGAAGTATGTGTGCCAACTTTCCAAGATAAAGTCTATATTTGCATAATTCAAAGGCTTTCTTTAAAGGCTAAAAGCACTTTAAACAAAGTGCATTTATCCTTGTTGCCCCCTGACCTAACCCAACACATTCCCTCCACAGATGCATGCTCGATCCAGCAGCCACGTTTCGCAAGTCTTCACTGTCCTGTCCATACATGTGCATTACAGTACTATAGACTTATGTTGGACTGTGTCCCAAGGCTGGAGATGATCATAGACAGTCCTGCAGAAGTTTACGGACTTTTAGGTCTACCTACTCTGCCCCTTTTGTTTTTGGATTGGCCACTGGGGTGCAAATTCTAAACTTACCCAAAAGTTGCTGGAGCCTTTAGCTATAGTGACTGCTTCTCTGTCACAAGGTCACCTGATCCCTCTCATCGTAAATCATCATTAACATTATATAGAATCCAAAAGAGATCAATGTGGTACTGCTTCTAAAGAGCACAAAGGTATTTAGGATTTGCTCCCTTTTGGTTTGCTATATATACCATTGATGCATTTTTATGCTTGTTTCATAAATGCAAAAAATGTCCTTTTGTGAGTTGATGACTTCCTGTGGTCTCTGCCTGTATTGTACTAGAATCATATCGTTCTCAGTTAGCTTTGTGGACTCCCCTATGTTACGGAGAAGAGAGGTGTTCTGTTATCATGTCTTGACAATGCTGCTCCTTCATAGATGCAATAAATGAGTGAGTGTTGTCACTCTAGGAGTGAAAGTGTGCTGTTGGCAGGATCACATGGTGAAAGTTAACTAAAAAAGCCTATAGAAAATGAATGCAGCCACCATATCTAATGACCCATAAGCTGCAATATATTACATTTCTGTTCTTGGATTTAGATATGCTTTAAAGCAAGAAACCATTGTTAGACTGCTGTGTTCTCTCAAATATATCAACCCGTTACACTGGATTTCTCTGTATTCCTATAGCAAACTCAGAAAGAGGTGGGCCACACTGCTTTCCAGAAAAGAAATGAGCAAAATTTGTCATGCTTAGACAAAGGAATAGAGTTAAAATCAATTCAAGGGTGAGCCACCCCCCTTGTTTTTTGAAAAGCTGGCAAGTTATTAAGCGTGCATCTATCCAAAACCGATTAATCCATTATAGGTGGACCCTATAAACAAAAAAAGCCCCACAACACATAAAATTAAAACAAGCAAGCCATAATATATATATGAATATTATGTTTCCATAATTATATTTGTTGGCTGTTTTATGGCGCAGTTTACCTTATGGCTTGTAGTTTGCGAGCACAATTAAACAAACAGCAATAAATTATCTTTATGTTTTTAAGCCATTTCATTTGCAGTTAAGTGAGATATATTGTCACGCTGTGGAATGGCTGAGCTGAATGCAGATGTGACCCACACACGGGCGAAGTGAGGTCTGGCGTGAAAAGAGCCTCTTCAGAGTAACAATGCATTGATGGTGCTGCGTGATAATTGCTCCTTTCATGCACACATTGTGATCATTGCCAAACGCGGTTCCAGTCAAAACAGGTTTCAAATAAAAAAAAAATGCTGCAATTAAAAGGGAAACGCACAAAGTCTTGGTGATTATAATTTTACACGCTTAAAATGTCAATTTTGATCCCCATAATTTAAACCTTTGGCGGGCCAGGACATGCTTTGAGATAATAGTGAATTGTCTTGAGAAATGGGATCCCCATATGTTTCGTTACTGGTAGCAAAGCCAATTCCACCCAAAGCAGTTATCAGGTTTGGGTGGCAGTGGTGTAGTTGGGTTACTTGTTGGCTCCTGCTGAATTGATAAGGTTTTCCTGTATTAATTTGTGTCTTTACCACATCCCAAACAGGCCACCGCAAAGGTATGGCTCTGATGTACTTGAACTACTTACATTTTTCCCTTGACCTATATTATGGAGAATCCTCAAAGCTTTATAATGTCTCTAGCCAAAAGTTTAGTTTTAGAGTAAGGAACAATTAGAACCCTACCAGGTGTATGTCACCACCAGAAAAATTCACGCTCTCAATTTGTCCTGGTGACCAATGTCACTGGCACTGAAAGTGATGGGAAATCTAAAATGTTTGAGTGGTCACTGGAGCAAGAGGTGAGGGGAAGTCCAGTGACCATTATCTAAGAGGGGGTTTTCTTTTTTATTGTTTCCAGAGCAACAAATTAGGGGAAATTATTTTCCAGTGACAACTGTCTCTATGAAGGGATTTCCTCTTACCAGTTGTCTAATAGAGGAGGATTTTATCTTCTTTCTTGTTGTGACTCCAGAACTATAGAGAGGGGAAATCCTCCAATGGGGACACCTGTTCCAGTGACAACTGCATAAAAAGGGACATCCTCTATCTTCTTGTTGTCTCTCTAGGGCCCAGTGAGGGGAAATCAAGCCCTGGGGACATCTGACAACAGTCTAAGGGTTGATTTTTGGCTCACTTTTTTGACACGTCTACTCACTTCCTCTTGTGTCTCTGGGACAAGACGTGAACGGAAATCACACCAATGAGAAGTAAACAAAAACACAGGGGGTTCTTAAAACTTTCTACAATATCCAAAACCAAAGAGGATGGTGTGGGTGGGACAATGGGGGAAACATCTAGAGAAAAGGATGCAAATAAATCTGTGGCAGACGGTGTAATATAACTGTGCAGATTTATTGGTACCCTTATAGCTTCATTCTTCCTGAAAAGGGGTGAAATTAGAAGGGATTCTCTCATGAATGCCTGCATTTTTTTGCTATGTCATATAGTGAAGCAAAAAAAAGTGTGAGAAGAGATAAATGATTACTTATTCTACAAAGATATTCTAAAATGGCCCAGACAGATTTGTTTGTACCACTAGAAAAGATTATAATGGGATCACAGTTATATTTCAGTATAATTAATTTAAATTGGTATCGCACATGTCTTCTCTCTTGTAATCAGTCAGCCTATTTAAATTGAGAAGAGTAGTCACTCTACTTTTTGGTAGCATCGTGTTCACTACACTGAACACAGACCGGAGCAAGGAAACGAGAGCTTTGTCTGAGGACATCAGAAAGAAAATAAAAATTATAGACCAGCATTTTAAAGGTAGAGACTATAAGACGATCTCCAAGCAGCTTGATATTCCTATGACTACATTTGCAAATATTAACAAGTTTAAGGTCCTTGGAAGTATAGCCAACCTCCCTGGACTTGCCTGCAAGAGGAAAATCAACCCCAGATTGAACAGAAGGATAGTGCAAATGATAGACAAAGAGCCAAAGAAAACTTCCAAAGAGATACAAACTGAACTCCTAGGCAAAGGTACTGTTGCTTTTTGAGCTACAGTGGACACAATGGAAGAAGACCCAGGAGGACTCCACTGTTAAAAGAAAAACATAAAGCTAGACTGGAATTTGCTAAAATGCATATTGACAAGCTATGATTAAGGCTGTAAATGGCTGAAACGCATTAGCGGTTCAAAGTTGCGCTATTTTGTAGTTTTACCGCTAATAAAATCTTGGAACTTGGAGGCTGTGTGCTACACTATTTATTATCTTTTGCTCCTGGATGGGGGCCAACAGGAGCCTTGTCAAGCACCTGCAATCCGTTTACTTTCAACTATGGGTGGAGGTGGAGCAGGCACATTTTCATTGTGTTTGCATATTGACAAGCCAGAATGCTTCTAGAAGAATATCCTTTGGACAGCTGAGACAAAACCAGAGCTTTTTGGCAAGTTATATCAGCTCTGTGTTCACAGATTAAAAATGGAAGCCACATAGTTGCATAGTATTTGAGGTTGAATAAAGACACAGGTCCATCGAGCTCAACCTTTGCAAGTGTGTATGTGTGGGTGTGTAACTTTTTAAAGAAAAGAACATTGTAAAACATGGAGGAAGCTTGGTAATGTTTTGGGGCATGCTGTGCTGTGCCTGGCACTGGTTGCCTTGAATCAATGAATTCTCAAGATTATCCAGGAATTCCGGGGGGGAAACATAGTGACAGTGTCAAAAAGTTCTCAGGCATTCTCGAACCATTTTCGCACTGCGGCAAGGTGCAATTTTCTGCTGAAAGAGGCCAGTGCAAACTTTCTCTGCTCTGGATTTTTTTTTTTTTCTGGTCGCCGGCGGCTCCGATGTCAGAAAAAAACAAACCAGAGCAGGGAAAGGTTTACTCTGCTCGATCGAGCAGAGTTAACCTTTTCGGGAGAAAGTGTTTCTCTCCCGGGCGGCCGGGAGCCGCTATCTAGGGGTCGCCACAACTTGGGCATTGTTATCAAAGGGTCGCGGCACTAGAAAGGTTGAGAATCGCTGCATTGAGGGGTGTATTTGGTCAGCAACAATGTTTAGGTAGCTGGTACATGTGAAAGTAACATCCACATGAATGGCAGGATCTAAGGTTTCCCAGTAGAATGTCGCCCAAAGCATCACAATGCCTCCACCAGCTTGCCAGTGGTCAAAATGTTATGTCTCATCAGTGTGTAATACTAATGCTACCCTTTAAATGTGCTGTTTGTCTTCTTCTGAACAATGATCACTCTCCTCCTTCCTCCCCTCCATATGCTCTGTACGTTCTGCTAATTGCACTCTGGTTAAATCCGGGTGATGGGGCTAATCTGGCTGGCCGATCAGCAGTAACGGCCCTGGTAATATTCTGGGCATGCACTCATTGTCTGGGGAGAGCCATGTGATCAGGCTGATTGCATGCATCGCCATCTCCTCAATTATTTATGAACTGAAATCCCTGGTGCTGTATCTCACAGCTGCTTTTGACACCATTTAATTATTCAAAATAATCAGCTGCACATCTCTGAACTTGAGCTGACTCTAATTAGGTCCACACTTTGCACAGTGTCAGACTATCTGTACCAACCAACTGTGTGTTGTTACTCCAAGTATTTTAATCCTCTGCGCCTGTATAGGGTATCTGCAGAAGGAAGGTGTTGTGTCACAACAGAAAATGGCAGCTAAGTAAAAGCGTGGGATTGAAATAGACAACTTTTAACATTTTAGTGTAGCTTAATTATGTTAAACATCTTTACATTTGACACTGATATGTCATTTTCCCTGGCTTTCTATTTACAGCCCAACTGAAGTCTCACATCATTATGTCTGTTTGTAGTCATAAGTTATGATAAGCTAATGAAACCCCATAAAATATTTTAAAATGGGCTTCTTGCCTTCCAGCTGCAGTGTTCTGTGCTGGCACACATGAGTAATGGCCACACCCTCCCTCAAAAGTTTCCTAGTGCGGAGGAAGAGAAGGGAGTATGTCTGACCAGGTCTGTAGGGTTAGGGAGTTCACTTGTCAGTGCAGTCAGACTATGGTTCCTATTTTACTGAACAGTCATATTTAGACATATTGCATAACTGTTATTAAAGGAAAGTAGAGGTAAGACTATAAAAATTGAGGTTGGCTACCTGGCTCAAAATAGATGTCCACCTCTCTTAGGGCACCCCTGCCTTAGGGCATTTTAAAGCCCAGCTGATGTCACAACAAAACATATTCAAAGCGTGGAAGTAACCAAAAATCATTGGGTGGGGGAGCACATTTTTTAAAGGGTGCATGGCTGAATGAAAGTTGGTGTGGTCAGTGATAATAGTGTGATAAGATAAATCATGCATTGGTTGTCAGTGTGCCCCCTTCCAAGTAATGTTTTCTTAGCATTGGTGGTCAGTGGACTGGCCCTGTAACATGCTCTCTTACATTAATGGTCAGTGAGTAACCCTGGTAACATTCCTCCTTACTTTAATGGCCAGTGAGCTCTCCCATTATAGTGCTGCTCATCATTATAGTATTAACAAGTACCCCCAGTGCCACCATTATGTCACCCAGTTCCACAATATTACCCAATGCTACCGCCATGTCCCCTGTCAGAAATACTTTCCTTCTAACCCCCTCAATATGCAGAGCAGCACAGGGAAGAATACATTCCTGGCGCTTCTATGTGATGTCACAGAACAGGTACCTATGTCTCGTCATCACTTCTCTGCATAAGGGGGGAGCACTTTTGACAGAGGATGGACACCACAGGAACACAAGCTACCTGGCACATGATCACGATCGATGAATATCACCTATTGCGGAACCCTGCCCTAAGGAAAGGGACCAGGCCATGTCCTTTTTCTGTGCCCAACAGACATTTGTTTGGCTGTCCAACAACTGAGATAGATGCTGTAGATGCCCAGTGGTCAATGCATATATACTTTTTTTTTAACAAACATTTAAAACATAACACAGGATTACCACAGCAGCTGCCTGCTTTGAATCTCACTCTGCCTGATGGAAGCCTCATATGGCATTCTATGGGAAGGGAAAATGCATTGCTTTGACTCATGTCTGTAAATTTCAGCTTGAGCTATTGCGCTCTGTGTTTAAAATAAAAAGCAGCTCTGGTTGCAATACTCACCTCTTTCCTGCCTCATACAGTACCTGCTCTCCTCCACAAGATGTCTTCAGTCTACCAGGTTCAGTGCCCCAGTGTCACCACTGCGTCCTACATTCCCAGTTTAAAGATGCAGAGAGGGGCACTGGGAACTGAGCCCAGAGTTGGGCTTAAATATACAATGAGGGGGAAATGTTTGCTCTGAGCAACTGCTCCAGTTTTGATGAATTCCCCTCAATATGTTTCCCTGACCATTGCCAAAAATATTTAAAAAGGAAAAGTATGTATAAAATGTTTATATTTTAGTCCTGACCATAATAAATGAAGAGGAGAGATATGGTATGTACATAATCACTACAACACTCTCTTTCATGCGCCTGTACATTCTTCCGTAGAGAGCACGGATCTACTGCTGGGACCATTCTACCGTGAATTTGAAAAATTCATAACCAAACACGCAGTGTGTTTACGCATATACATATCAAACTTACACATATGTATAAATTAGTTTGATGCATGCAGTAACATGTGCTGCGTGTAGTCGATAAAAAGCCTTTGTTGTGTGTTGCTTTATACAGACACATCTGCTGTTTGCATAATATATATGACACGCTCCCTCTAGCTTCTACAGCAGCTGTGAGCTGATAATTATTTCCTTTATCAGTTTGCTTCCATATTCCACTTTACAAGTTGAAAGCATTAAATTGGACCTCAATAACCTCCAGACTTCGAGTAAATTAAGCCATAATTAATGTTGCTGCGCAAGCTTTCGGTTTTCTTGCTTTAACTGCGCACATTCCTCAATGGCTAAGCATACAAGGGGAAAGCAGAGAGCAAGGTGCAAAGTGGTGTCACCCCACAACAACCAATCAGAAACCATCTTTATCTTTTATTGTTCTGACTGCTGTAAAGTCATGAAAGGTAAAATATGATAGTGGTAATTGTGCTGTATGCATTCATGATCTTCCCCTTCTATAAATGTTTGCTCTTCTGCGTTTGTTGATTGTGTTAAAGTGGATGTTAACTCTAACTGAATGACATTTTATGTGCTAAATCACTGTGTCATAAACATTTGACATTTTTAAATAAATACATTTGAATTACATCTTTTGTTGCATCTCTGACTGTATTACACTAATATAGGGTTCATACAGGAACTGTATAAGCGGACCTTGCCTTAAGATTGAAATTGACTTGTGAAATGACATCAACATGTTAAAGCTCATATGAGAATCTATGCATTCGCTCTTATTTAAAAAATAAAAAATGAACTTCGGTTATCTGAAGAAGTAACAATATTCCTTTTTCTGTGCTCTGTGTGCAGGAAGTCCAGCGGTGTACATCTGACATGAACATCACAGCAGAACACTCCAACCATCCCGACAACAAACACAAAAACAGATACATCAACATTGTAGCATGTAAGTAGTTTGGCCTTCTTTGTCAAGTCCATCAGGTTACTTTTCAGAGCGTTCCTTTGATTTTCCAATGGTTAGTGGGGTCTAATCAAGGCTCGTTTTTGAGAAAAATCGAAGGAACAGAATGGAAAAATGTTCTGGTTTCTTATTTGAATGAACAAAATTCTAATCATGAATGTGATTTCCATTCGGAAAAAATCATACATAGTGTAATGCGCATATACTAGGCACAAAAGAAACCGCTTTAATACGTCTGGGTTTCCATTCAAGTAGAAGATCTGGATGACATTTTAAAGGGCTTTTGAACGAAATGGGTTGACTTAATGATAAGATCCGAATGCTATCAGGAAGGATTTAGAATGAACGTTTAAATTAAATTCTAAGGCCTGGTTCACAGCGAGGCGTTTTACCCCTCAAAGCGAAGTGAGACAAAATGGTCAAGACAAGGAATCTCATTCATTTCTATGGCCCCTGTTCACACTTGAGTGTTTTGTCACACAAAGTTTCCCATTGAAGTCTATGGGACCAAAAAGCTCTGTAATCTGCCAGAGAGCAGCTCGTACTTTTTCCAGCAACGTGTGTTTTTCTGTTAGTGACAAAACAGATGTGAATGGGGGCCATAGAAATTAATGGGATTCCTTGTCTTGAGCGTTTTGTAACACAAAGTTTCCCATTGAACTCTATGGGACCAAAGAACTCTGTAATCTGCCTTTTTCCAGCGACAGACGTTTTTCTGTTTGCGACAAAACACTCAGATGTGAACGGAGGCCATACAAATGAATGGCATTCCCTGTTTTGAGCGTTTTGGCGCGCTTACCTTTGAGCTGAGCTGCACAGCGCCTAGGTGTGAACGGGGGACTAAGGGTGAATGGCCAGCTTAAGTGGTAGTTAGTTAAATACTCATGCTACATTACTAGTGTCACTTGATGAGAGATCTCAAGGCTGATTTAATTCCTTGCACTTCTAATTACTAATAATTCCAGCTGCTGCAGCACAGAACTGTAGTTACATTCACTGGCACTCTGAAAACCCTGGTCAGCCTGGCTACAAGTTATACAAACTCCACATACTGAATGCTTACGGTTTCTCCTAAAGGAGGACTACAGGCTGAAAATAAACCCTTGCTGTTGGGCTACCCCAGCCCTGCAAGGGTTAACTGCTTGATTTTGTCTAGGGGCTAAAATAAATAAAATATATTCACCAGATCCATGGTCCTGCGGCTGTGAGTGCTCACCTCTCTTCCCCTCTGGCGGTGGAATGTCCATCAGCATCCTCACCTATAATGCAGCTGCCTTAGGTGTGATCTCACGGGTCCTTAGACTGCCGGAGCCTGAGGGAGAAGAGGCTGTAGGGGACCGGTCTAGCAGCCAGGCAGGCTCAAGTATCCTGGACTGAGTAAATCGTCTTTATTTTAGGCCCTAGACCAAAATGTTCAGTTAACCCTTGCAGTGCGTGGATAGCCCCACTGCAAGGGTTATTTTTTAGATTGCCTGGAGTTCTTTACTTTCCCACTTGTCTTTTTAAAGCCTAACTTCAGGCATACATAAAATACATATCAATGCCCCCGACCCCCTTTCCCAACTGATGCAGAATATCATTTGGTTTTACTAGGGAATTATGTAATACAGAACAATTTTTACCTTAAAGTGTATCTCCAGCCAACATTTATTTCCCTATTTTTGGATAGAGTGGGGGAAGAGTTAGAATTATCAAGTATATACTGGTATCCAAGAGATTTCCATTCACTTCCTGTCCTGCTAAATGTTTCACCAAAACATGACGTGAGGGGAAGATAGGGAGTGGCTGGAACCCCTCTCAGATTTGTATTTCTCTTTGTGTTTCTATTGCAGATTTTTCCTTCTTTCCTGTCTGGTGAAACCATTGTCAGCAGGACAGGAAGTGAGGGAATATCCCTAACGAGGGGGCTATGTAGCATTAAAACCGGGAGTTCTGAACCTTCCCCACTTCATCCAAAACTAAAAAAAAAATATTTTGCCTTGACATACACTTTAATCCATGGCCCCATAGTCTTGCTTTCCTCCGATTCTGGTTGTGATGACCATTCCCGAAGCCGCTCTTCTTGGCCATCTCAGGCCAGTCTTGCCACCGCCCCTCTCACTTACCTCATCCCAATGCAGTTTACCACAATGGTTCTGCATTGTACATGATGGTGTAAAAGTGCGGGTCCCCATACGGGCAGAGAAACGGAGGGCTGGCTGCTGTAAGACCAATGGAGTAAGGTAAGTAAACCCCTGCATTACATCGTCTATTAGTACAACAAGCATTATTTTCTGCATCAGCTGGTGCGGGGCACATAGGTATTTATTTTATGTATGCCCGGAGTTCTGCTTTAATCACTGAATGGCTTCCACAAATGTTTTATTGCTACATAGAATGAAAAAAGAAATTCGGCATGAGTTCCAGGCGCCTGTGCCAAATGTGTGGACGCTTGTTCCCGACACTGTTCCACACACAATATTAAATGTTAATTAGCTGCTGTTACACACTTCAGCTCCAATTTCCACTGACTGAATGTAAATGAAAAATGTCTAACTTTAATTCCGTGCTGGACGCGGAGAAAAGCCGCGTTTGATTGCAGCTCCTGCTGTGCACTGAACATCACGCTACCGTTTAATGAGAAGGGAGTGGATCACTCACTGGCCGCCTGATTCAGAGACTTGCCAGAGGGGAACCTTTTGAATCTTAAAGAGTCAGACCACCTGAAAGTGTTTTAACTAATGAATAGGTGCTGACTGGTTGAATGACCCACCAGATCGTTGCACCTTCTGGGGATGAAATCTTTGGAGGTCTTGGGCCACCCATTTGTCACCATTATGAAGGGTGCTTGCTCTACCTGCTGGATTTTCAATCATTTTACATTATGAAAAAGGTGACACACAGACTGTAGATGTAGCAGCAGCACCTGCTGAAGTCTCCAACCAGTGGGCCAACCAGTGTCAATACACCACTAAACTGTCAGTCATGTGTGGACTGACCCTTCGGAGAAGACCTGTCCTGAACTGTTGAGCAAATGCTCTGTTAACAATCTTAAATACATTTTTTTTTTTTAAACAAATCAAGGCTAAAATGCTTACTTGTCCTATAGATATTGCTGCCCACTGCTCTCTTCTGTGCTGGTGACATGACCAAAAGCCTTGACATTTGTCTACAAAAAGTCTGCTGAAGTAGAGAATTCAAATTAGACTTCTGCTGAGATCACATGGTCAAAAACGTGGGCTTTTGGTCACATGACCAGTATAAAAGGGAACCCATGCCAGCAGTTTCTTCAAGAGGGGTATTTCAGATCTTACATGTTGGTTCTCCATCTCAGCAAAACTGTTTGCATAGTTTTATCATTTGGTCAAAGCTTTTTCTAGCTGAATTGGTGTAATATCTATTTGATGAAATGCATTTATTCATCCAGATGGTGCCACTGCTAAGATCTGTATGTTGCCCACCCATGTTACAATCTGACTGTACAATCTCCTTTAGATTCAGAAACAGTTATGTAGTATGGGGGGCCACTTGATTGCAAATACATTTTTTGTAGGGACTTGCACTACCTCAGGGGTACCAGACCTCAATGGATTGCATAATATATCCCTTTACTAGACTACCAAAATCATCATGGCCAATCCTATTAGGTACCAGTATGACTTTTATGAAGGATTAAATATCTTGGTTTTAGATTACATATGGATAGCAGTGTGTTACCCGTGTGGCACCTGACACATCAAGCCCATTACTTTCCATTCAGGTTCAATAATGCAGAGAATCTAGTTTCAATTTTCTTTTAATTATTCAGAGATCCAGCCTTATAACTCCATCGTGTGGTATGGTTTAGAACCTTTGAGGGCATTTGCCCCTTGACAGTATCTATATGTAAGCTAATGGCCCTAAGTGGAGATACTCCACAATGTCAACCTTAATCAGAGCAGTACCTGCAGTCAGTGGCAGCTGCTGGATGTTATATATTATCCTGTAATAAAAATGTTTTTTTTTTTTTTTATTAGCGTAGGGAAAGGCTAAAACCCCTGTCAGACTTGTATTTCACTTTGTGTTTCTATTACAGATTTTTCCCATGTCTGGATGTCGCTGCATTAGTTATAACTCTTACTTTCATTATCCCCATACTATAATGTGAGTGCCTCTAGCATAGTAATGATAGTGAGTCACTGGCCCTCCTCGACCTTGTCCATTCATAAAATGTGTTGTATCCTTTTCACAGAAGATATATAACATATTCTGTGACTGGACAAGGGGAGAGGAAGGAGGATGAACGTCACAACCTCCCCTTGTGCAATTATCACAACCCTTTTTATGAACGGACAAGGGGAGGTTGTGACCTTCCCCTGCCCTCCTCCTTAAAGCCTATCTCCTTACCGTCCCTCCACCAACAAACCTACTCCTCCTGGTGTTTCTTTTTTCATACCTGCTTAATCAAGTTACAGGTTATACTCAGCTAAGTCCCCCTATCCATGTACCTGCCTGACTGTGTTTCTAACGGTGGGGACCACTAATCCATCCCCACACAAGTAACCCTTATTGGCCAGTCCCCTTGATTCCGACATCAGTTGTCTTCTGGATCCTGAGAGGATTGCTTCGTTGGAAATCCAATGGAAATTGTCCACGTCACACAGGCAGGGACCCCAGCAGTAAGTAAACTAAGCGGAGAAGAATCCAGCGCTGGATAATCTTGTGACCACAGCTTAAGGCAAGTGAAAAAGGGAACTTTAAAGGTTTATCAGCCCAGCGAACAGTGAGGAGGGATGGGAGAAATTTATTTTTCTATTGCAGCTATCAAAAATGTATATTTTCCTGGAGTTGAGCTGGAAGACAATATCCAAATATCACAGTGGTCACCTATTATTGCAGGTCAAATGTCCCCAGTGTCCCCCCTCCCCACGCCGCCCGGACCTACATAACTGTTATACAATCTCAGGCGACTTTCAGAGATTGTACAATCAGAATGTTGCCTTTTAGCTGCATAAAATTTCGACTCAATCAAAATGAAAATTGACGCAAAGCTCCTAAATGACGTCTTTGGTAAAACGCATGTGATGTGTGAATTTCCTCCGGAATTACTATGTGAAAATGTTCATACCCAAAGTGTCCTCTCCGATTTCTGGCAGTAAGTTTTCTGTGTGTTTGTTATTTGCAGATGATCACAGCAGAGTGAAGTTGAGGCCTATTCCTGGCAAAGATTCAAAGCACAGCGAATACATTAATGCCAATTATGTTGATGTAAGTTGTCTTCATACACATAACGCTCTTTTCCCTGATTATCAAATAGAAGAGGGAGAGAAAGTTGGTTGATTTTTTTTTTTTCTGATGTTGCATCCACATATCTTTTTCTTCATTTTTAAATTTGTATCAAAGGACAGTTCACATCATGTATTCAATCCATAAAAGATTGTTCGCTTTTTTTTTTTTCATTGCCTTAAATTATTAATTTGTTTGCCACGAGATGGCTTTTCATCTTCTGTTTGCTTGTCTTTGAAGGGCTACAACAAAGCAAAGGCCTACATCGCTGCCCAGGGACCTTTAAAGTCGACTTTTGAAGACTTCTGGAGAATGATTTGGGAGCAAAACACTGGAATCATTGTTATGATAACCAATCTAGTAGAAAAAGGAAGAGTAAGTAGCGTCTGCCTTCGTAAGTGGTTTCCTTGCCTTCTGGGGATGTCACTCCAGGGTGCGGGATTAGGGAGCCATGAAAAGGGGAAAGAAGAACTCCAGTAAGCGGTATTCATTCATAAAAGACACATTGTTGATAGAGGTTGCTGGTATATGTGTCCGGCCTATAAATCATGGCCGTGTTTTGTTTTGGAAATTGTTGCTTTGCATTATTATAGTGTTATCTTGTCTTTTATATTGTGTATATGGATTTTTCAGGCTTAAAGTGTATGTCAAGGCAAAAAAAAAACAAAAAACAGTTCTGCAAATCATGCACATTCCTCCACTCCATGTTTTTTCCCTTAAAGACTATGCAAGTACAGAAAAATACCTGTTGATCTGCTAGAAATGTACTCCACTCCCAATTTCTTGTTGTGGGCTGACAACACACAGCATTTTGGACTGAGTGGTGTCAGCCGTGCACAGTTGTCTTTTGCTAAACTGCTCAACCCCTCCCACTCTCAAATCCCTACAACATAAAAGCTAATCATTCTGTAGCCCATTATACAAACTAGGAGGGCTAAATAGACTCGTTGAGATAACTCAGGAAGTTTGCAAAGGACAGCTCTGAATTTCTAAAGATCAACAGGTATGTTTTGCACCTATTAAACAGATATAACAAAAAGCTTCCAATTTTATATATTTAACAGACCAAAGGGGAGCAAATGAGAAGAGTTCATTGTTAGGGTTTACATACACTTTAACCTTGCATGCCTGTAGCTTAGTATCACAGTAGCTGGGAAAGTGCTTAGTTTTTATATATGAACTCGGTAAAGGGAAGGTGCCATTTATCGTCATTGAACACATATTATTATTATATGGTATATTTAAAGTGTATATAAAGCCATTTTTTTTCTTTAAGCATTGGGTGGAGTGTGGAAAGGTTAGGAACCCGGTTAAATTTTGTTATTATTGTCTGTGTCCCCCTAGGGAAATTCACCCTCTCTATTTTATCTTGGAGACAACTGTCTTTGGGAACTAAAAGTAAGGAAAAATCCAAGAGTTGTCATCAGAATAGGAATAAAGGGTAACTCTTCCAATGGGGATACTTGTTGTAATGACCGCTATTTAAGAAAGGGTTTCCTTCACTTTGGGGACATTCCCCTTCCCTTCCTGTTGTATCTAGAGGACAGAAAGCAAAGGGGCAGCTAATGAACAGGGAGGCTAAAACTTGATAAAAGATTCAGGCTTTAGCTATATGATAAATCATACCTGTGATTACAGCAAAATAACAAAGCTAATAGCAGCTGCAGTTAGCTGAGAGCATTTCCCCTGACCTTCTGTCACGGTGGTAGGGGACCAGAGTGACACGAAGTGATGGGAAATGTCTCCAATGAGTACACATAGCAACAATATTAGAGCATAGAAGGGTTAAAACATATCTAAGGCTATTATTGCTGTGTGGGAAAAAAGTTTTAGCTGGAGCTAGGCTTTAAAATGTTGTGTGGCTTCTCCTTCCCTAAGTTAGATATAAGTTCTAAAAATTGATGAAAGAAAGCATTGGTATGTGAATGGGCAGCGCTTCTACCCTACAGCCACTAGATGGTGCTGTGCATTTTCAAGTCAATTATCTGTAGCAGAAGACCTTGTAACAGGTAATGAATGGAAGGAGGTGAATCTGCTACAATTTTATTTATGATCTGCTGCATGATCTTCTATTGGCCTGCTCACTTCAAAAAGATGATAGTGGGTGGAGCGGTGAACTCTTGTTCTGTAGTGATGTACTCGTTACTAGAAACAGTGATACTGTATTAATGCCCATGGTTTTGGAATGAGATGTCCAACAAGCTCATAGAAGTGTGAAGATCAAGCTCTATAAACCTTTGTCCATGTAATCAGGGCTGGATTTACTCTCTGTGCCCCAAGGCCAGGTTTCTCAATGCGCCCCACTACCCGCCAATAAGTACTATCCTTGTCGCACTCCTTACTGATATGTCCCTTGTAGTGGGGGGTGCTCGCAGTGACCGCGGATGGCGCTGCGAATGTCAGCAAAATTGTAGAAATGTCACCAGCACACCAATCTTTTTAAGATAGCAAAAGCTTCATTTATTGAAGTGTTTTGTCATATGACCAAACAAGCGCTTTCGGGACCGCGCAGGGTCCTCAATGCTAAAGCCTGATGAAGGGACCCTGTGCTGTCCCGAAAGCGCTTGTTTGGTCATATGACAAATAAATGAAGCTTTTGCTATCTTAAAAGGATTGGTGTGCTGGGGACATTTCTACAATTCCACTACCCGCCAACCCCCCCAAGGAGAATGGCAGACCTGCAGGCTGCATACAAGTGATCTTGGCGACAGCCCCGAGATCACTTGTACAAAACAAGCGGCGGCTTCCCCTCTGTACATTTAGCTCTGCTTGCCCAAAGCAGGGCTAAATGTAGGAAACAATAACCCGCCTGGTGCCCGGAACTGCATGTCCCGGGCATCGGGAGAGAGGAATTCCACACCCGTGCTGCCCCTCCACTCCCTGCTGCCCAGAGGCCGAGCATTGGTTGGCCTTGTGGGAAATCTGGCCCTGCATGTAATATTGGAGTTCACATATACCGGGTAATATTTTCTGTACTGTTGACATTTTTCAAACATAAGAAGGCGAAAGATGAAACTTAAATGTAACTCTGCCTTTGTGTTTCCAGAGGAAATGTGACCAGTACTGGCCAACAGAGAATAGTGAAGAGTATGGAAACATAATGGTGACCCTGAAAAGCACAAGGGTGTACGCCTGCTACACAGTGCGCACGTTCACTATCCGGAATGTAAAGATGAAGAAGGTAAAAATAATCCTTGTATGAACTTTTTCACACGGTTCACTATGAACCGGTTTTTCTGGTTAAACTGTCTTTGGTTAGAGATGTTGGTTTTCTTTGTATAACTTAGCTTGGGCGCCGTAGCTGTCAGCTGAGGAAAGTAATCACAGATATCAATGTTAAAATGAATCAGCTTAAATATGGTTAATAAAAAACCTATGCGGGGGAACTATGGAGGCTGCCGCTGCCGGCCTGCTCTCCTGAAAATGCATGCGCCGTTGTTGTAATGCTAATCTAATGGCTTCAGTGCTTTCTGAACCAGTGACTTAGAGCAAGTATATGGATTGGGAGTTCTGACTTCACCCTGACTTTCTGATCTGCATGCTTGTTCTTCATCACTGACACAAGGTATTGAAGGCTGAGACAGCCAGGCAACTAGCATTTTCAGAAGGGGCTGGGAAAACCACCAGAGCCGGGTTCTTGGCACTAGAAACTAATGTGGCAGAAGGGAGAAAAGCTTCAGTTGACAATCTATTGGCTTTAAATGGGATGGGTGAGCAAACATTTATTCGCTGGACTTATTTGCCACGGTTACATGCTATTATCTTTGTAAATGTTGTATTTTCTACTGTTTTTACTTCTGTTACAGGGTCAGAAAGGAAACCCAAAGAGTCGTCACAATGAGAGAACAGTCATTCAGTATCATTATACGCAGTGGCCAGATATGGGTGTCCCAGAATATGCACTGCCAGTCCTGACCTTTGTCCGGAGATCATCAGCCGCTCAACAAGCAGACATGGGGCCAGTGCTTGTACACTGCAGGTGAGATTAGTTTTCCTCTTTCTATGAAATGCCTCTAAATATTAAATCCAGGGAATTCGTTTCTAACTGCCCCTTCTTTCCACCCTGCAGTGCTGGAGTTGGCAGGACGGGAACGTACATTGTGATTGACAGCATGCTGCAGCAGATAAAAGACAAGAGCACAGTCAATGTCTTGGGCTTTCTGAAACACATCAGAACACAGCGGAACTACCTCGTCCAGACGGAGGTAACTCAATGTTTTATTCTTTTATGAGGGTGGCTGTTACCTGGCATCAGCAAAGCTTCTACCTCTGCTGAAGGCTGACCGCAAAGTGGTGGTGGCTCTAGGGTAGGCATATTGGAGTGCATGACACAGATATGTGGCTAGCACCAATCCCAGGAGTTGGGTTCTAGCACCGGATGGAATCCTCAGAACAGCCATTCTCTTAATGCAAACCTGTGCTGTGCCAATGCAGGGCAAAACAGCTTCTCTTTAATGCCCTCCAGAATATATTCACCTCTCCTTTGCTTCTCTTGCAGTTACATTTGGCTTCTGGGAGCTGGTACTTCTGGGTATGGAGAAGCACATGACCCGTTCAGTGTAATATCACTGGGACAGAGGAGCACATGGCTCACTTTTACTGGGACACGGGAGAGTCCTCAGCCCTGTATAAGCTCCAGCTGGAGAGATTCTCAGTTTACACAGGGCAGCTGAACCGAGTGGCAAGGGATAGCCATGTGCAGCTGGGGAGGGGAACATTAAAGCTGAACTCTGGGCAAAAAACTATAAATATATTCCACAAAGTACTTAAATCCACTTTGTGTGCACCAAATAACTTTGCAAACCCATGTATTACCTTACCTAAAGTAGTGGTGACATCATCACTGTGCTGCACATAGCCTGTGCAGAGAACAGAGCTGTGGAAGGGACCCAGCAGGCGCCACCCACTACAGACTGCCTGTGTTCTGTTAAAAAATCCAACTCCTCAAGATCTCCAGCGACGTCATATCTGGTTTACTTAACAGTAAGAGGTTTGGGCGAGTAGGCTGCACTGCACGTGCACCACCTGCGGCATTTCCCTAGGCATATACCGCACAGCAATAAAGTATTATAATCAACTAAGGTCAGACTACTCCAGTGCGTTATTAATCTGAGTTGCCCCACTTTATATGGCCGACGCTTGCCTGACTTTGGCGGCCATATTGAGTGGGGCAACTCAGATTAATAGCATGCTGGATTAGTCTGATCCTAGTTGATTATAATAATTTATTGCTGTGTGGTATGTGTATAGGGAAAAGCTGTGGGTGGTGTACGCCTACACGCCCAAACCCCTTACTGGTAAGTAAACTGGAAGTGACGTCATTGAAGATCTCGAGGAGTTGGCGTTTTTGCCAGAACTGGAGTGGGCAGATACAAGACCAGTCACCCTGCACAAGGAGAGAGAGCAGCAGGGACTGGTCTTGATTACAGAAAGTTCCTGCACAGAGGCAAACGTTTCATGCTGGATTATTGCACAGATCTGGAAGAAATACACACAGCACACCAAGAATACACATAATCAAATCGGAATACACATGCCTGTTGTATTTAGACAACATTTGTTTCTCCCAGAGTTAGGCTTTAAAGTGTAAGAGTCCAACCAAAAAAATGTATTTATAATTTTAGAAAGAGTGGGGAAGGATTAAAGTCTCTGTCATTTAATGGGACGTTTCTTCTTACTTCCTGTCCTGGTGGCAACAGTTTCACCAGACAGGAAGAGAGGGAAAATCTCCAACAGCAACACAGATGGATTTTTCCTCACTTCCTCTCTGGTAATACCATTGTCACAGGGACAAACAGTATGATAAAATGTCTTAGCGAAATTCCAGATAAAGAAACAGCCAACATTCAAATTTTTCCCCACTTGCTCCAAAAGCAAGAAGGAAGTTTTGGCGGGAGTTGCACTTTAAACCTTCATGTCCTGGATACCTTTAAATTGTGTTTGCAATGCTGCAAAGGCTCCCTGTGTTTTGCGGCTAATATGTAGGTGGGCTGGAACCCTGCAGGGGATATAAAGTGCTGCTGACAGGTGGGAGGGATCCTTCTCCTTCGCTTTCTGCTAAACAAAAAGCATTGTGCTGTTCATGTGTTTTCCTACAAATCCAATTCTTTTGTAAATGGGAGGTGAATCATGTTCCCCTGAATAGGGGGTTAAGGCAGGATAAAGAGAAAGCCATGCTTATTTATGTAGGTGGCACTTGTGATTTACTCTATATTATCATTTGTGCCCAGTGTTCTGCAGTTAAAACCACATTGCTGTCAAGAAGGGGGTAGGGAAGGTAGACAATGTGCTTAGTTCTCAGTGATTAAGCTTTAACTATAGTATTGAAGGGTCATGTTTAAGGGCTTTTTTTGGCTTTGGGTCACAAGAATACATTTGCTAATGTCCTCCTGTGATCCAGAGTCAGCAGATAGCAGGTTGATGCCCGCAATCTGCTGACAGCACATAGCAATGCTGCAAGTGGGAAGAATGCTAATATGACAATAATGCCGGGACCCACCCAGCTGCCTGATTGACAGCTGGCTCTGCTTCTCTAGAGCCAGACCCAGCTGTGCCCGCCCCCTCCCCTGTCTGTTCCTCCCATGTGCACTGGAGAAACAGAGAGGGGAGGGAGAATCCCTGCAGGGGTGGTGACTGAGTGTCACTGCTCTCTGCAGGAAGAAGATTACGAGCTGAGCAATCATTGGTTACATGATCCCTCAGCTAGCCGGCGTGTGACAGCTGGTGTCCCATGCCGGCTCTAAGTATTGGTAAGATTATATTTTACCCTCCCCACACTTCTCCTTTAAAGCTGAACTCCACACACATATAAAAAATACCTTGTGTTCAAAACAAAAATAATGAAATTAATTTTTAAATGCAATCCTGAGTAAATACATGAAATACTAGCACTACCTAGGCAAAAGAGCAACAGTGCAGAAGGCCGTTCCTGCAGATTAAATTTTGCGGCACGATGTCTCGTACAGAATACGTGGAATGGACCAGCGCAGTCCGTTCCAGACCAAACCAGAAAAATATTGCTTGTCTCATTTTGTCCTGTCTAGAATGCGCTGGAACTGCGGACAGGTTCACACCATTTTCTGGACCAGAATGAGACCTGCAGTATTTTCTAGTCTGGAATGGACTGCACTGGTGTGAACAGAGGCCAGAAATAGCATTGGGATACATTAGGAAGCATTTTGGGTCCAGAAACAATCTGGTCTGCCAATGATCTGGATGTGGTGTGAATGGGCGTGGTGACGGCATTCTTTTATTTTGTCAAGCTACGTTCATTTTATACAAGTAAACAAAAATACCTGTTGATCCTGATAGAAAATCAGTATCCTTTTAACTTCCCTGAACTGATATCTCAAACAGGGTTATCAGCTTTCCCAGCTATCTTCTGTAATGAAGATTAGAAGATGGGGAGGTAACTTAGGGTGTAACAATGCTGCTCCCCTAAGAATGTAGTACAGTGGGTAAGCGTCGTCACCCTAGCATGGGAAGTGTGCTACTGGCAGGGTCATCAGGTGAAAATAAAGGGAAACAAGCCTGAAAATCGCTACAGAATAAACTGCAATTTATTACATTTTTGTTTTGGGTTCACATACACTTCAATGCAACATGTACTGTATATCTAGCCTAATTCAGGCTTACGGGGGCCCGATCAGAAAGCTCACTGTACTGTTGTCTCTTTCTAGGAACAATACATCTTTATTCACGACACCCTATTAGAGGCCATTTTGGGCAAGGAGACGGAAGTGTGCTCGAACCAGCTGCACAGCTATGTGAACACCATCCTGACACCTACAGCAGGAGGGAAGACGAGGCTGGAGAAGCAATTCCGGGTAATGACACACAGCCTCATGAAGACACACACAGATGTTAGTCTTTCTCGAGTAGAATGATGGATATTTTGCAGGTTAAAGACACAAGGAGGGCCCCTTATAACATTAATCCCAGGATTTCTTCTCCTCTCTGATCCCTCCAAGTAGATATGTTTATGAAGACTGTCACTGTGCAGCTCTAAGATTTGTTGTCTTCATCAAATATTAAATGGAGCCGTGGGATGAGAAAATGTTCTGGCGTTCCTGCAGATTAAATGTTGCCGCACGATGTCTCTTACAGAATACGTTCCAGGCAGATATCACAATCTGTATTATTTGCCTTAGTTGAGACATATAAATGTTTCTTTATGAAATGTTAGACTGAGAAATATACTGTTCACATTTATTATCCACACAGGAAAATTGCTACGTAAAGAGAAAATACAATCTTCTTAAAGTGTATGTATGGGATAAAAAATAATTCAGAAAATCTTTGCAGTGCATTTCCTGCTGTTTTACCACTTTGAAGATGCTGTAAGTACAGGAAAATACCTCAAATAACTGTTGATCTTCCAGAAATCCAGCATGCTCCTAACTATGGCCGCCTGGGAGCTCCATCCATATGTGCATTGCTTATAGCTCCCTCGCGTGTCCTGCAGAGGTACCTGGACCAGAGCGACGTCACATTTTGGCTCCCGGCACCTCTACAGGGAGCTGTACAAGCAATGCACGTATGGATAGAGCTCTGTCACAGCACAGCAGCCCACACTGGACCCCAGGCTGAGGATCAACTCCAGTTCTCGTGAGATAGGGAGACTGGGTGGACCTTAAAAGTTAAATATATTTGGGAGTGTGTGAGATTGTGTCTGTGGTTGTGTATGTATGCCAGTGTTTTTGAGGGCCCGTTCACACTAGAACAGTGCTTTAATCGAACGGTCCCGTGCGCTGTATAACGCAATCGCACCTACCGTGCATTCTGATGTGGGAGGTGTGTTGAGTTGCCATTCATTTGAATGGTACCCCAAACGCCTCTCACCCACAGTTCGTACGCCCACCCCAGAACGCGTGGTAACCTAATTCTGTGCATTCCATTGCAGTGCGACTTGGGTCACGACTTAATAACCAAGGACAAATGTGGGTCCTGAGGTTACACAGGTTTAGAACCACTGTTGTTCTAGAGGGAAAGAGGGAAATGGGGGGGTAAGTTTAGGTTATTCCTGGAGATCACGTTTCATGTTTTTTTTTAAATGGGATCATATTAATGTGAACACTCCACCAGTGTTTGTTTTAAAATTCCTGTTTCTGTGCATAGATTGCATTGATATATGTGCCTGGGAGCAACCATATTTGCTAATTGCATATACATAACATGCTGTATTCCTGATTGTGCATTGTCAAGCCTCTTATATTATTGCCTAGTCTGCCAGACAGGACCTGTCTGATAAAAAACATTCATCTCTCTGAAGTATGTGTGTGAAAAACCCACCAAGCTCATTGATGGGCAGAGGCCATATGATTAGATCTGGCTTGGCATTAGGTCACTTGAAGGAGGTACTTTTCCTTTGCTTTAGTAATTTGTGTGAATTGTGCATTTGAATGTTAGGGCCATTTTAAAGGACAGAATAAGATTTGCCAACAATTGATATATAGTAATATATACTATATACCAGCTTTATGTGCCCTTCCCCCTTAATATGGCCCCCTTCAGGTGTTTCCAGCCAAGGGCACTGTTCATGCTACAGCATACAAAGATAGTTTAGATCAGTAGTAGGCAACCTTATTGCTCTGGCTGTGGTGAAACTAAAAATCCCGTGAGGCATTACAAGACTGACAGAAACAAAGGCATGACTCCCGGAGGCAGAACCATGTTGGGATTTGTAGTTACACCTCAGCTGGATTGCCGAGGTTGCCTACGCCTGCTTTAGATAATTCTGTGCTTCCAATCTTGTGGAAACAGTTTGGGCAATATTCTGTTCCAGCATAACTGCACAACTCTAGCTCCATAAAGACATGGTTTGATATGAAGAAACTTGAGCGGCCTGCACAGAGCCGTGACCTCAACCCTACTGGGTTGAAAGGGAATGCCAATTGCAAGCCAAGTCTTCTTGTCCAACATGAGTACTTGACCTCACAAACGTTCTTTTTGCCTGAATGGGCACAAATTCCCACAGACATACTCCAAAATCTTTGTAAAGCCTTCCCGGAAGAGTGGAGGCCCAAGGAGGAGCCAACGCCATATTCATGCCTATGGTTTCGGATTAGGATGTCCAACAAGCTTTAATGGGCACATATTCCCACATACACACTCCAAAATCTTTGTAAAGCCTTTCCAGAAGAGTGGAGGCCCAAAGAGGAGCCAACGCCATATTCATGCCTATGGTTTTGGATTAATATGTCCAACAAGCTCATGTGTGATGGTTAGGTGTCCTTAGACTGTAGTGTTCCTTACAACAGTTCCAACTTATCCTACTTTACTAATCTTTGGTACTATAACACAGAATTGTCTTCTCACTTTTCTTTTTTCTGCAACCATCCTAGATAACCAATGTGTGGCAGAAAAAAAGAACAGGTCTCTTGGATTGCTGTCTGATCTACGTGCTGCTCACACCCCATTAAATAACACACATTATATTGTGTTTTATATTTTTCAGCTGGTTACACAATGTAATGCGAAATACATTGAATGCTTCAGCGCCCAGAAAGATTGTAACAAAGAAAAGAACAGAAATTCATCAGTTGTGCCATGTAAGACTGCGCTTCATTACTTGTGTGATTGGTGTAGCGGGATACATTAATTAATAACACATTCAGAGCACATGTGTAACCTAAACATTTTACCCCCCCCCCTTCTTGAAGAATCATGTGACTTTTTCAGCACTCCAATTCTTTCTGAAATGTTTAATAAATAAGAAAATATGTTGATGTGTTTCCTCCCCAAGCCAAGTGCAAAGCATTGCTTGTATACCAAAAAGGAATTCTTAGCTGATTTTAATAAATGGGCACATTTACCTGGTGCCTTTTAAAAGGAACACAATGGACATAGTAGGAGAACCTTAGAAATCATAAAAACTGTTTTTACCGCATAGTTCATAGGCTCCCAGGCTAGACACCACAACTAAAATACTCAAATATGTTAAATTGCCTACTCCCAGAGATAGATTAAGAGAAAATGGGACCTTAAGCAAGCTTTGTCCCCTAATCCCTTTGAGAATGTTAAAGTTTGCTGTATACATGGAGAAGCTGCCCAATTTGCATTTTCATTCCCCTTAGACACAACTTTCCTACAAGTGCATCCTTCTTTGTAAAATTACAGTCTGGTATACAGCTTTAACCAATTGCAGTTTACTGCAGGAGCTTGAAGGTTGTAGCTGGGCCCTATGGACATCCAGCATACCCTAGGCTCCTGTCTAGGTTGCTTTCCGGATGATCTGCCTTCCTTTCCTTGGCCATTCTTTTGGAGTAAAGGGGATCTATGATGTTTACAGGATCATTCTTTATATTGGGCATTATGACAGGAAAAAGGGGGCAGCACAATGACCGTTGTTTTCTACCCTGCCAACATAGACAGAAAGTGTGTTGAGTGTTCTCTACTATACCACCTTATTTTGATATATCTCCTGTGCAATCCCAAATGCAGAGCAAAGCAGCTGGTTCTGTTTAATGCCCCCCTTCTCAACTGCACATATTTTTATTTTCTTTACTTCCCCACTGCTCCGTTAAGCCTCAGAGCAAAGAACTATGGAGGAGCATGTGACTCATACCCCTTCTTCTCATGTGACCTTTTTAATGATTGACCCAGCACCGTCACATTGGGATGGGGAGACAGTCCTCAGCCTTGTATAGGCTCCAAATGAAGCAACTCAATTCTTACACAGGGATGTCTTTTCTCACTCCTAGTGGCTGAACAGAGTGTCGGGGAAGCGAGGTGATTATGTGCTTTTAGGGAGGGGAGCTTTATAGAGAACCTGTTGACTTTTTCTGCATACCCAAAGCTCAGTTTTACTTTAACAGTGTTTTCTTCTTCCAGGATTTGGCTGGATTACATTCTAAATTCTTCTGTTGAATCTCCTGACACTTTTACATATTCATCCGTGAATGTTATCAAAAACCGTTTTGCATAAATTATTTTATTAAATCCATGCAATTTGTTTAGTGACCCTTTATAGCTGCCCTTCTGCCCTTCCCTGTCAGCAGAGCAGTGGACAGAATGGGAATAATTAACCTTACTTATGTGCATTCACCCTGTAAGTAACCATTGTGATCTGACAGTAATGTCCATGACTGGCCTTCTATAAAATATTTATTTTTCCTTTCCACAGCTGAGCGTGCAAGAGTGGGTCTAGCTCCACTGCCTGGAATGAAGGGAACAGATTACATTAATGCCTCTTATATCATGGTGAGAGACGTGTAGTTATTCTAATTATGACTTTAACATGGTATTTTAGAACCTCTAGGGATTTGCTCAAAAACATATGATGAGGAATTATGTGCAGTATGCTAAAACACAGCAGCCAACCACAGACCGGGTTTGTGATTTGCTTAAAGTTGTTTGGTAACTGTGGGATGCAGTTTTTCTCTGCAGTATGTAAATGTCCAGCTCTCTGTACAAAATATTAGTTTCCCATTGCTACTCTGCTTTGATTATCCCCATGAAGAGGGTGACCGACTTACCGCTCACTCAAGAGAGTTGAGCACTCAAGGACTGCTAATCTTGAGTCATGGTATGGTGATCTTTTCTCACAGTGTAAGTAAAAGATGGACACCGGCACTCCAGGGCAAATCCAGTATATCTCTTTTTTTTCATGTCCTTGTTGCAAATTCAAACACTAGATACAATAGTATCTAGTGTTTGAATTTGCAACAAGGACGTGAATAAATAGACGTACTGGATTTGCCTTGGAGTGCCGGTGTCCATCTTTTACTTACACTGTGAGAAAAGCATTGGATACTTTATGGACACTACTACGAAACAATATCTGGACTTTAGTTTTTTGGAGGTCCCTCCATATCTATTGCAGTCCCCTCTTGGGAGATTTACTCTTTTTGTTTTGGTGACCACTGTGAGAAAAGGATACAGTCAGTGTACCCATTGCACTCAGAACTGCTGCTCCATCAGATAAGAGGTGGGTGCAACAGGTGGCTTCCGTCAAAGTATAAGTAAAAAATGGACAACACTAGATACAATGGTATTCAAACACTAGATACAATGGTATTCAAACACTAGATACAATGGTATTCAAACACTAGACACAATGATCCATGACTGGCCTTCTATAAAATATTTATTTTTCCTTTCCACAGCTGAGCGTGCAAGAGTGGGTCTAGCTCCACTGCCTGGAATGAAGGGAACAGATTACATTAATGCCTCTTATATCATGGTGAGAGACGTGTAGTTATTCTAATTATGACTTTAACATGGTATTTTAGAACCTCTAGGGATTTGCTCAAAAACATATGATGAGGAATTATGTGCAGTATGCTAAAACACAGCAGCCAACCACAGACCGGGTTTGTGATTTGCTTAAAGTTGTTTGGTAACTGTGGGATGCAGTTTTTCTCTGCAGTATGTAAATGTCCAGCTCTCTGTACAAAATATTAGTTTCCCATTGCTACTCTGCTTTGATTATCCCCATGAAGAGGGTGACCGACTTACCGCTCACTCAAGAGAGTTGAGCACTCAAGGACTGCTAATCTTGAGTCATGGTATGGTGATCTTTTCTCACAGTGTAAGTAAAAGATGGACACCGGCACTCCAGGGCAAATCCAGTATATCTCTTTTTTTTCATGTCCTTGTTGCAAATTCAAACACTAGATACAATAGTATCTAGTGTTTGAATTTGCAACAAGGACGTGAATAAATAGACGTACTGGATTTGCCTTGGAGTGCCGGTGTCCATCTTTTACTTACACTGTGAGAAAAGCATTGGATACTTTATGGACACTACTACGAAACAATATCTGGACTTTAGTTTTTTGGAGGTCCCTCCATATCTATTGCAGTCCCCTCTTGGGAGATTTACTCTTTTTGTTTTGGTGACCACTGTGAGAAAAGGATACAGTCAGTGTACCCATTGCACTCAGAACTGCTGCTCCATCAGATAAGAGGTGGGTGCAACAGGTGGCTTCCGTCAAAGTATAAGTAAAAAATGGACAACACTAGATACAATGGTATTCAAACACTAGATACAATGGTATTCAAACACTAGATACAATGGTATTCAAACACTAGATACAATGGTATCTAGTGTTTGAATTTGCAACAAGGACGTGAATAAATAGACGTACTGGATTTGCCTTGGAGTGCCGGTGTCCATTTTTTACTTATACTTTGACGGAAGCCACCTGTTGCACCCACCTCTTATCTGATGGAGCAGCAGTTCTGAGTGCAATGGGTACACGGACTGTATCCTTTTCTCGCAGTGGTCACCAAAACAAAAAGAGTAAATCTCCCAAGAGGGGACTGCAATAGATATGGAGGGACCTCCAAAAAACTAAAGTCCAGATATTGTTTCGTAGTAGTGTCCATAAAGTATCCAATGCTTTTCAAAAGGTTTTACATGATCTAGATGCCCCAGTGCTTAAGAATTTTGGATTGGGAGGAGATCTGGAGTTTAATAAGACATATCTCTTGAGCAAACAGTTGATTGTAAAGCCTAAAGTCTGCTCATAGCTGGTTTAGCAGCTACCCTGAAAAACCAGAAGATACACTTGACCAAGATATCAAATGATAACAAAGGTCTTAATGCTTTGAAACCCAGTTCTCTAAAGCAATGAAAATGTGACAGGCGTTCTCACCTCTCACCACTCTATCCAAAACTAAAAACCTGAAAAAATATCTTTAGCACACAGAACTGAATAACATCTTGTGTTGTATTTCAGGGTTACCTAAGAAGTAATGAGTTTATCATCACCCAGCACCCCATGCCACATACGACTAAAGACTTCTGGCGCATGATCTGGGATCACAATGCACAAATTATTGTCATGTTACCGGACAGTCAAAGCTTGGTAAGAACTGTACATTTTCTATTACTTTCTAAAGCTCAGGCGTCAAGTGTAGGGGAGCTTCATAATGTGTTAGTGGGATTGTGAAAGCAGTCTTTATCTTGTAGCTGAAATTGTCTTTACAGATGAAAGGGAGAAGCAGGATATTGGTTTTAGAAGGTGAAGTTCTGAAGCCCTATATAGACCCTATTTGTAAATTAAAGTAAATCTGATGATATAGAAATATGGGGGCTGTCATTGCTGACCTCGTTCTGAAACTGCTTTTTGGCTCACTCTTATGCTGACCCTCCGGGTTCCGCATTTTCTTAGGCACTGACCTGGAACAAATATGCAGATGAGCAAAGTTAAAATTAAACGTCAGGAGTTCTTATCTGCATACTTCTTCAGTGTAGGCAACACAAAGTATTAAAGCCACAGGGTCAGCATGACAGCCGGACTAATAAAATATTCAGGAGCAGAGGTCAGCAGACATGTTGCTCTCATGACGGGTTTCCTTGAACCTTTTCAGCAGCTAACATGAAGTCCAGGACCTGGCACCTCACACAATGTTGTGCCTCTGTCCTGTGTCCATTACATTGCAGCATATACAGGGCTGCATTTGAAGCTGATATTGCAACATAGGAGAGAAGTTTTGTTTCCTAGTTCAGAAGTGTTCAGCCATGACATAATTGGACAAGGGGCTGCATGTACAGTTTTTCCACTCGGTAGACGAATGAAGACCCTGCTCCTCTGAAAGTACATTTGAAGCTCTTATGTGGCCACAAGAGAGGCTCAGTGAAGTTCTTTTCCAATACAATATTTTTTTTAATGGAATAAATAAATCTTGTTTTTATGCATCATCAATGTACACATTATGTCCTCAATCAATATCTCCTGCGCCATATTAGGAACTCGGCTAGCCCTGATGTTGCTCATGCAGCCTCGTAGCAGGTGTGCTCCTACGTTTTGAACATATTCTGCATTGTATACATCTCATATATATGAAAAACTGCAGGGGCAACATCAGTCCAATAAAAAGGGTTTTTTCACCATCCTCAGTTAGGTAGAAATCTCATCCATTCATTATGTTGGTCTGACCTGGTCTGCTTCCTCTGGGCAATAGAACTGAGCTACAGAATCCAGTTTAACACTAAATATAGACAGACCAGAATAGGTTTTGATTGCAAAATGAAATAGGATGTAAAGTGGCCAGGCTAGAGCCATACAAGTATAAACATATTCTAAACCATCAGTAAATGAAGATGTTTAAAACAAGTCCATGTTGACATCTGTAACTGCATGCACCGTGGAGCAATTAACCCCAATGGTCATAGCAGAATCACTGAAGTTGCAGTGCTTATCACTCAGCGGAGCAGTCCCCTGCTTTCTCCCTCCTAGCAGAGACTAAGCACCCTTCAACCATTCTAATCTCTAATGTTAATACAGAGCAAGAGTACTGGGAGGGGGAGCAATGGAAGCTGAGCTGCTGAAATAACTGACTTAGATGGCTTCTGCTGTGAACTTTGAAGATTAATTGCTCCACAATGCCTGTAGCTACATGTGTCAGTGCAGGCTTGTGTAAAAGCTTATTTACTGGTTATTATAAATATCTAAATCCTTGAATGTCCATAACCTGGCCACAAGTTAATTGTAAGCTTCTGCCTGTATTGATGATGGCACTTTCCTTCTGCCAATGACTCCCTTCAGGGGCCCAATCTGCAACAGTATGCTGCCACACCTTACTCTGGCTTAGAGCAAAACTATTTACAAAACGTGCTGAATATGCATTTAAAATACATATCTGAACTGTTTGGTCTCCCAAAGGAGTTATAATTCTGTTTTTTCAGTCTTGTGATTCACACGCCTCTAAGCAGTGTGCAGCCAGGGTGAAGTCTGATTCAGCTTTCAGGGTCAGCTTTCGATCACTAGCCTGCTTATTGGGCAATGCATCGGCTTCTGATATGTTGTCCACTGGGGCAGGTATTGATACAGGAATGTATAAGGATGAAATATGAAATCACAGTCATATTCCTGGCTTTACAGTATGACAGCTGAGTGTAAATTGCCAAACTGGCTGACCAGAATTAAAAATCCTTTGTCAGGTGATGAAACAGCTCACATATATTTCAACTGTGTATTAAGCAGTTTGGCTTTTAGAAACTGTAACCTTATTGTTTAAAAAAATTGCTTTATGGCCTCTTACAGTGTTTGGTATTGTGACAATTACAGTCACACACACAATCTGTGTAAACTGTCTCAAACAATTAAATCCTTCACTCATTTCGGCCTGTGATCACATTGGCTGTTGCTCAGTAATCTCATTTATTTGAGGTTGTTAAGCAGAAAAGTGCAGAATGCTCTTATAATTATTAACTTCTGTGTCCATATTTGCCGTTGCTGGTTGTTAGAGACTTGCTGGCAGGTAAGCTCATAAGAGAGGCCTGCAGATGAGGTTCCTGTGTCCGCTTCAGATGCAAATCCTCTGCTAAGACAGGTAGACACAATTTACTACGGTAAATTACAGCATCATTAAGTGAGCTGTGCGGTAAATAGGCTGCCAGTAATTTATGTGGCAGGGGCTGTCATCACTGCGACAAGCTGGAAATTTGGCTGTCAAAAGCAAGGAGAATATACAAATAGCCTATTATTTGATGCCTTTCACACATCAAGTGTCCTCAGTGTTTGTAATGTAATTTTTACCAGCATCATCATTATTATTATTAGTGAGATGGGTAAGGGAAACTGAACTCTCCGCAAGCCTAGGGCTGGGGAACCTCGCTGCAGTGAAATTACATTGGCCTTATCCACATTGCACAGCTTGCATAGTCAGACATTTATCAAAAACAAAGTAATTAGAAGATATGCAGTAGGCACATTTGCTGTCACCTTTTTATTCCCTTTTCATTTTATGTTCACAAACTTTAAATTGATTGTGATTTGCCAGCATTTTGGTTGCTTTATGATATACAAAGAGCATCTAAAATGGCCATAGAACTAAAAGGGTGATGTGTCTGTGAAGGTTCTCATTCATCCAGGTCATGGTATATCTGTAAAAAATAAGTCAAGGCAACTGGCCTTGCTGTATTTTTGAAGCTCACCAACCAAGAGTAACACTCAGACTTTCCAAATTGGAGGTCATTATTGGTCATATAGCTGCTTGCTCCTTTGCAGCCGGTGCGGAGATCGACTGTACAGTGGTACCTTTGGCATCACGAACTTAATTTGTTCCACGATTTCGGTCTTGAACTGAATTGGTCACGAATCAAACTGTGCTCAGGCCGCGATTTCGACTAGAGGAAGCCACGACCAGTCTCAGAGCAGGGAAGATGGCTGCGGTTGTGTTAGTCACACGATGCGGAGTTCGCGAACAGAAGCACAATTTTGCCAAACTTCCTATTTGTGAACCAAATTGTTCGCGAACAGAAGCATTCATGAACCGAGGTACCACTGTATCTCTGAGCCAGGAAAGTGGTGATGTCGCTCTCCCAGTCATGTGACAGTGCTTGGGCCAGCAATTGGCTACTGGGCCCGGGGACTGTGATAGGGATGCAGGTCATGTGCTCCTACATACCCAAAAGTGCCTGAGCAAATTGGTTACAAGACTGGTTTATAAACGATGTATTTTAAAGAGTATGTAAGCCTAATGCTAAACATTACTTTATGTGAAAGAGTTAATTATGTAATTTATATACACATATATTATAACCGCATCAATACTTGCAGAAGCAATGGGACATTCTGCATTTATATAACTTTACTGTGAAATAAAGTTAATAATGGCAGATGGCAGTGCTGTGTGTTGGAGGAAAAAACTTCACTCTACACTTTAGCAGCTTCACATTTACATCTGTAAAAAAAAAAGTCAAAGCAACTGGACTTGCTGTATTTTTCTTGAATACGTTTCACTAGTCATCCAGTGAAACGTCTTTTTCAATTTTTACGGAAATACCATGACCTGGATGAATGAGAACCTTGACAGACTATTCACAGTTACAGGCTAAAAAAAATGACATATGTCCCCTTTATTTTAAATATACAACTCTGATAAACTCCTGAAGCTTTGTTTGCATATAAGTATATAATAATGTTTTTCTATTGGATCTGTAATTTCTTGCCACTTGGCACACCTAGTACTGTAAAGAGACATAGAAACAGTTGCTGCAGGCTTATCTTTACCCCACAATTCAACTTTTGTTTTGAACAACTTTTCTTGCTGATTGGTGCCTGTCAAATGATCACATAGAGGACTAGGAGGCTGACGTTTTGGCAGAGACAACTAGCTCTTTCCACTCTCTAAACAGAGATGGCATTAAAAAATGCCACATCATGTGGCCATGTAATGGATACTGAAAAACAAGAAGTCCTGGAAAGGTATTTTACAACAACTTTTCTATACAGTACTTTAGGAGTTAGGTGTCTAGAGACTACAATCCACTTAAACATACCCTATAGGGCCAAACTTTGTTGGATATCTGACTACCACACCAGCTTGTTGGACATTACATTCTGAAAACATGGGCATTAATATGGAGTTTTCCCATCCTGTTTGGCTAACATAACTTCAACCACTCTTCTGGTTTTTCACAAAATGTTGGAGTGTGCCTGTGGGAATTTGTGGCATTAAGCCAAAAGAGCACCTATTAACTTCCGATATTGATGTTGGACCAGAAGGCCCGGTTCACAATCAACATCCTAAAGGTGTTCAGTAGGTTTCAAGTCCGAGCTCTGTGAGGGCCACTTGAGTTCAAACCATACCTTTACGGTGTTGGCTTTGTTCACAGGGGCACAGTCATGCTAGAACACAAAAGGGCTTTTCCCAAACTGTTGTCACAAGGTTGAACGTGCAAAATTCTATAAAATATCTTTGTATGCTGTACCATTAAAAGCAATTTTCACTGGAAATACCTGAACTCATTAATTTCAAGGGGTGTCCACATACTTTTGCCCACATAGGTAGGCGCGATGGTCAGGTGTCTACAACTGTCTGACCATGTAGTGTATTTTGAAACCATCTGCTGGTTTTGAGTGCAATATTTAGGGGTGCTGCTTAAAGCCAGGTGGTGGGAGACGATTATCCATTTTAGCATATTGCCTACAATCCATTGGATCAGCTTTTACAACGTGCCTCCAAGCTTCAATGCTCTACTACGACCCTTTCTTTTTAATAATTTGCAGAATTGTTCCCATCATCATCTGCTGTTCCCTGGCCTCTCCATTCAGTTCTTTCTAAATTTCTTAAACAAGCGCTTGAGTGAATAGCAGGTGTAAACTTGAGAGGCATAAAATGCAGCCCATCACAGAGACACTTTCCGTGTGCAGGTCTATTTAACCGAAATTAAACTCTGCATAAAATCTTCTTAGTGCCCCACAGTGCACATTACAAGCGTCTCCTAGTCATGAACTGCAATTAAGTGCATGTAATAGGTTTTCAATGGAGTCTTGCTTAAAGAACAAGCAGATGACCTTTTAATAGGAATATGGGGAGACAACATTACCGACATTAATGTGAAATCACTTGGACGGTTGCTCTAGATTAACTGAACACAGCAGTTTCTGCTCTGCTCCATCCAGATAATCCCACTGTAGAGCTAAAAAAGTGCCAATGCTGATTAAATACTCTCAGCATGTGACAAAGGTGTAGTATCATCCTCAGCACCCAGGATAAGAGCTCTTGAGGGTGCTTTGTGGTTTATTATTCGAGACCATTGTGACCCTGATTTCTAGAAAGGTTTGTCCAGGACAAGTTGGAGAAACTTAGCTTTGTTTGTGGTTGCATTTTCCCTTTTGGCTTACTTTTGAATCTTAAGACCCATTTACACATCTGGTATAGGCATATTGTAATGTATTTTAAAGTGGACCACTCATCTAGAGGGACCCGTGATCTTTTTTCAATTGACTGCCTGCTGTAGCAGTTAGCAATCTCTTGTGATTATATGAATACAGTGCAGCACACACATTTTTAATCAATTTATGACAAAACAGGAAAATGAATATCAGATGCCAGAGGTTATATTTGCAGAGTTGTACACTGGAAAGTGAGTATAGAAAAAGGCATAGTTGCTGCACGTCTTGGTTTATGCATTGCTGTTACATGTCTCTTTTATGACTTGTAGAGGCCAGTGTAAACATTGCCTTGTTCACATTTGGCTCCTCTGTTGCTGTACCGTACCTGCAGAAAAGAATGAAGAACAAGCAAGGCATCCAATTCACATGTCTTCTGTGCCAGGAGTCATAAATGATGTTTCCTGTGCTCTACTGCATTTCTGTAATCACTAAGGATCAATAACTGTAAATGTAGGCAGCCACTGCATACATTTGGCTACAAGGGTTGGCCTGTTTCTATTTTGCTGCCCGCCAAGTATATCATTTCCTTATTGTGCATGAAGATGTAGAAGGATAATCCACATTTCCATGCCATCAGAAGTAATGTTATAGGAACGGTCATATGTTGGAAATCACTAACAAGCCACAATAGATATGTCTTCTGTATCCTCTAGATGAATTGTATTGTTCAAATGAAGACATTACCCAGCTTGCTTTCCCAGGGTGTTAGTTAAGTCTGTCTTGTATTTCTTAAATGTATTTAATGAACATGAAATTGCCTGGAAATAGAACATCTGTCAGATGTACTTTTTAATGTCATCGGTCAAGGAGTGTGATCTTGTTTTCCACACCTCATGAATAATTCATTGTGTTTGTGATACTCAGAAGCTAATTTGAAGGAGGGAGAATTTGGAGTAGCATGGAAATAAGTGGTTCGCTTTTCCAGGAAAAAGGGCACAACTACTAATGATGGGGAACTGAACATTTCTACTGTAAAACGCCTGAATGTGAGGAGACATTTCTCACCAGTGCAGTCCAAACCATTTTATTTTAGGTGTACATGTGTATATATAAAATGTATGGTGGCAGCTGCTTTATGACATAGGTGGGCCCAAGCAGGATTGGACTACAGAAAGACAACAAGCTGGGAGTTACCTTTTGTTTTCAGATGGCTTTTAGGGAGACAAATATAAGTAAATTAGCATTCATTTTTATACTGTTTTTAGACTATAGAAATTTATAATTACATGTTTTCCTGAGCCTGGAGCATGGACAACTTTTTTAGGCACATTTGCAAATCCAGATTTTAAGAGACCCAGTACAAGAAAATGACTATTTACTTATGCTTTACTTATGCCCACATTCAATTAACTATCAACCTCCCAAGCTACACATAAGTATAGCGAAAATGTGATTTTCTTACTCCTACATGAGAGGGCTGGTACCTGACTGGTTAGGCACTCAGTGCTGTTATATGGTCAGACAGAGGTTCCCAAGTCCTGGATAAGTTATTTATTTATTGCAGGTATTTATATAGCGCCAACAATTTACATAGCTTTTACATAGCATTCTCATCAGTCCCTGCCCTCATGGAGATTACAATCTAATGTCCCTATATCACATGCATACATACAGGGCCAATTTAGACAGGAGACGATTTCCCTTCCAGCATGTCTTTGGAGTGTGGGAGTAAACCGGAGTAAGCACAGGGAGAACAAACTCCTTGCAAATAGTGACCTGGCCGGGATTCGAACCAGGGACCCCCAGTGCTGCAAGGCAGAAGTGCCCATGACATAGAGCTTCTTCTCTTCCCTCTCGGTGGCTGTAAAAAGGAGGCCAAGGAAGGGCTGGTACTTGGGCCAGTAAGTGTTGCTGAGGAGGCAGTTAAATGTTAATGAACCAGTTAAGTAAACCTGTTGCTTTCTCCTGAATGGCCTTAAATTAGTATAACTGTGTGGGCTTATTTATTGTATATTTACTCCTGTTGTAGCTTTCATTACTTATCTTTCAGCTTATGGAAAGTTGGACTATGGAGGCTGCGACTGCTGACCTCTTCAACTATTGTAGTTACCGGACTATGACTTCAGTACTTTCTGAGTCTCTTATACAAGCCTTCAGCTAGTAAGGGTAAAGGAAGGACCACACTGCTGATCAGCATACTTGTTCTGGTTCAGGGACTCAAAGTATTTAAGCCTTTGGATCAATATCCAGGCAACCAATCCAGGGCTAGGGAAAAGAGAGATTTTTGGCTTCAGTTGACCACCACACCAGAAAGTTTAAGCTGTTCTTCAAGTCACTAATCAATGCCAAGTTCCAATTACTAACATGCCATGGGTTTTATCAGGCTCTTTAAACTGAAGAATGCAATTTTTCATGCAAGGCCTACTTTAATAAACTTTTTTTTTTTTTTTGTTTCAGGCTGAGGATGAGTTTGTCTACTGGCCAAGTCGTGAAGAATCTATGAACTGTGAGGCCTTTACTGTGACTCTTATCAGCATGGACAGGTTGTGCCTCTCAAATGAGGAGCAAATCATCATTCATGACTTTATACTCGAAGCAACACAGGTAAGGACTTGGAAGGTTGCAGAAATATAGAGTTGACCATGAACAGGCCATACACCAGTAGGTCAGTGGATAGCTAAATCTTTATTAGGTTCTCGATTTTTTTTTTTTTTTTTTTTTTTAATACACAATGTTTGTTTGCTTCTACAC